TCCCGATGCTAGCTTTGTATCCTTTTTCCACTTTCCACAAAGTCGGTCGTCTCAGTGTACGAGGTACTGGGGAGATGGGGAGCTGTAGCACCATCCGTTTCGCGACCAGCTGCTCCACGGAAACATATGTTCTCTGATATTTGTCACGCTGGTAGCGAGAACCCAACCAGCCTGAATCCCGTTAGACGACGTGGTCGACGCATCTCTGCCTTGCTGCACTCCATTCTCCTCCTCTCCTCGAGCCGAACTCCCCCATTCGGGATCGAGACACAAGTTTCCCAGTCTGCAGCAAACCAAAGGGAAAAAACCCCCAATCGGAAAATGATGATGGTACGCCACATATCTCCCGATCTGGAGACTTGTGCTTTGTCGATGGCGTCCTCAAGAAACTCGATCCTACCGATCGCCGACAAGAATTTGTCAAGTCGAACGTTCGATGGTGCCCATGCTGTGTCATACAGACTTGGAGAACCGACCTCGCGTCGCCTCCCAACGCCATTCCACATGGAGAAATGGGATCACGCTCAACCCGATGATGCTGGTCTCACTGTATCATCAGTCAGCCGCCTCACGTCCAAATACTTCCATGTTATTGAGGGTTGAGCACTGCGCCAACACGCTGCTGCTGGCTTGCACCCAGTAGCGTCGAAGGTCAGGGGAAGAGCAGGGAGGTACCCAAGGACTCCCAGTAGCCGTGAACTTCAGCGCCATGACGACCACGCTTGAGGCAGTGGCAGTGTCTGTACCGAGTAGTCGCTCTCCATCGACCCTGCATCACGATTCTGTGCATTGCCATCCAGCAGCACGAGGGCTACCAAGACCACGCCAGCAAATGAGGTTCGAACAACAAACTCCTCTTGCTTCACGCCTACCTCAAGGAGTAAACTTCGGGGCATGTGTGCAGTACACTGCTTACTCGGATATAACAGAGTATGTACCTAGGTACAGGCCACCAAGGAAGCGCCCAAGGGTGTTTCTGATTTTGGTTTTTGGTATCCGCGGGAAAAACAGTCGGTACCACTGGGCCCGAACTTGACCATCTCTGCCATACGGACCTCGTACATACGGTGTATTTCACAGTTATCGGTACCTTTGTATACGTGACTAGTCGGTCAGGCACTTTATCTGAGAACGACCATACAAAGTTCAACGAACAATACAAGAAGTTTTTCCCACTTTCCAGTCCACGTGCTTGACTACCTTCCCAGATCAGTTTTGTGGGACTTTTGCATTTTCGTGGCTGCTCATCGTCTCGTATTTCGTGGAGAAGGATACTGATCATCAGCAGCCTCGGGCCAGCCATGCCCAGCCACCAGGAAAAAGATCCCCTGGCTGGGGAATCTAACATCTACCATCCAACGATGAATCCCTCCAATCGCCCGAGGGGAAATGTTCCGAGTCATGTTTTGGGAGTGGCCAGAACAGTCACTTCGTCCTCGTAAACTTTCCGCGGCGGGATTCCGAATCTCTTGAGATTCATTCACCCACCCCCAGGCACGCAAGGCCAGCGATCGCCTCTCGTTGGACCCCCTCTACAAGTACAAGGCCCAAAAGCGGCACAGGCAAGGCGCATCTGATTCAATAATACCCATGTCTTTTGGGAAGCGAAGCTAAAAGACGCCACAAGCGACGTTTGTTTTGTTAGGTAAGTACCTGGTACAGTAACTAGGCCTCTTGTCAGCTAAGCAAGTCTTCGTTTCAAGTCCCCAGCCTCGACTTCTTCTGCTTCTTCTTCTTCTTCTTCCTCACACGTCTGTCATCTTCGTCTTTGTCATGGTCGACCTGGACTACCAAAGTGTTCGAACCAGGCTAGAATGACCTATTCAAAGGTCTTTACTAGGTAAATGGGCGGCGCGTCTTCCGCACCAACGGCGGCCTTATGTTACGCCTAGGTACTCGGCCTCGTACCTCATGCAAGGGCCAAAACAGCAACAAGTCTTCGCTAAACCAGACGAGGCCACGAGGATAAAGTGGTACGCCCTACGAGGTTTACCTCGTGAAAGCTCCGGATTGCACGTACCACTCGATAGTCCGAGAGGACGCCATGAGCCCCCCTATTTTCTGTCGATGTGTGAATAATGGTCCGATGGTCCCTTGGGCGGAGATTGCTATGGAACATACATGTACGAGGTAGTAGTAAAAGGTATGACTTTGGAAGGTTTCATACCTCCCTCCCTCCCATCCTACCTACATAGGGTATGTACATACCGAGATACCTACTCGTATCTACATATGACCGAGGAGATTATGTCCCCCTGTACCGAATATGCACAAACTCGTATTCCGAGTACATGCATGTCCCTTGCTCCCTGTTGATGAAAATAGTCCACCAACCAACCAATTACCAAACCAAAACCGGCATCGGAGCGGACACTGGATGAACTCCAACTTCGCCTTGATGACACATCTCTGACTTCTTTGCCCGTGTGCCGAGTAACCTACTCGTACTCGGTATAGTGATTTCCTTCTTTTCTTCTACTCAAACGAGTAATTGGAGGGGTTTGGTTTTCCCTACTGCTTTCGAGAAGGATGACACATCGTGCTTTTTCGTCCCATGGGTTCTGCATACATAGGCTGACGGGACCGAGGCGCGGATAGTACAGTACCTCGTACTTGTAGCGTTAACGGCCATCAACGGGGGTTTCCAGCGCTGCAATTTTGATTCTTGCGGTTCCGAAATTCCGAGAGAGTGAATGCCCTGCCTATACAATGCCCCGGTGTACCAGCTGATGATGATGATGATAACATAATAGCGCAGGAAACCAGCCGCATCTGCTCGGTCTACTACTCGTTCTATGTACACGTCCTTGTACCGACTATGTGCATACATGACCCATGACCAATGACCTGATGGATCGCCTCTGATCTTATACGAGGTATGCATGCATTACCCGTGACGACCAGGAATATGGTCCCCGAAGAAAAAAAAAAAAAGGGGGGGGGGGGGGGGGGGTTCCGCACCCAAGTGTATCGTGCTTGCGTGCACCCTGGCCCAGCTGAGTAATTTTCTAATTAGTCACTCCTCAGAAGAAGAAAAATTGCCTGTTTTGGAACGAAACTTCTTATTCGAGAATCGGAGTATCGTTCTGCATTACTCGGTGCTAGCTAGGTACTAGGTACTAGGTAGCTCTGTAGGTAAGTGCCCAGGTAGGCAGGCGGTAACGCAGTGCCAGTGACACCAGATCAAAAATAAACTAGGAACTGGGGAGCCAGAAACCAGGAACCATGACACAAGACGCCTCCCGGGATTTCGACTTCCTCGACTTTTCCTTTCTCCAGGCTTTGCGAGAGAGCAAAAGGAAATCTCTCTCTCAAAAAAAGGCATATTTATTTTCCCGGCTTCCATCTCCCCCCTCTTGCCGGTTCCGCCAACTTTGAATGCCCTGGCCTAAACTGACCCAACCTGACCAGATCTGACCAGACCACAGAAGACAAGGTGAAAGGTCTCTAAAAAAACAACTCGTCGTGTCGAGGGAAGTAGGCAAGTAAGACAGACGTGTTCGCCTGCTTGACATTGCTGGTAACTACTCGTCGTACCCGAGGATGGGGTTGTACATCCTTGCAACCTAGGTAGAGCAGGTAGGGAGATACTAGCAAGGTATGTCGATTGCATGTCACCAGGTAAGTAACGAGGTAGAGGTAGAGGGATCTGCAACGATGGAACTCGACTTCGAGGGGGGAGTGGAAAGTGGAAGACTTGGGGAATTGACATGGATGGCGAGTCGTCAATGTCTTGGGAGCCGAGGGGAGGGAATGAATACAAGAGATTCTGTGCAGGGATGGAGGTACGACCATGGAGATGATGATGCCCAGCTGCGCAGGAAGAGACCGGACGATGCATACGAGGTTAATTACAGGTTGCAGGTTACATCACCTCTAACAATTAACATTCACGACGCCTCAGAAGGGAAAATATCAACAGTCCCTCTCTGTTCGGTTTGGTCGGCGATACAAATTCCCATGGCAGGCTTCAGTAACAAGGCCAGACAGAGCCCCTCGGGTTTTCGCCTTGGACAGGTCTCCTCCCCTACACCAGACATTTGGCCATGAATGGCTGACTGCGTGACTGTCTGCCTGCCCCTCCCACCGTTCTGGTCGTCGACGGTATACGCCTTGCCCTGACATCCTCCTTCCAACCTATGTCTTGGTTCTCCAGGCATTCTCTATCCTCTATTCTTCCTTCCCCCTCCTCCGTCAAGGGATCCACAGTACCAGCGCCAGGATCAACACCAAAGAGGCCGGAGGACGCAGTCTTAGGTAGGGGTCGGAGGACAGGATAGGCGCAAGATGGCGCGAGCGCTGGCGCGTTGAGAAAGGAACAAACATAAAAGAAAGTTCCGGGTATCGTGCTTTTTCATACTGCACGAGGTAGGTACAGATCACGACGACGACGACGACCACTCTGGCTTGCTGGGACGGACTTGTGAGATCATGAACCCCAGCGTCTCACCGGCTCTGGCTCACGCTCATAAGATGTAGAGAGAACCTTTCCACTACGATCCGTGGAGCTGTGCAGGAACATGAATTATCGAGAATTGATGACTTTTCTTCTGTCACTTCTATCGTCTCTCATCGAGTCAGCCATCACACGTTGCCACAGACCACACAGTCCCAATCATTAGGGGCCACCATGTCCTATGCCAAACATTGTCTGACCTGCTCCTCATTAACCCATCTAATCGTGACTGATCCCATCCGTTGCTCTCGTCTAGGAAATTGTTTCATTACATCGTGGTCGTTTCGTTTTTACTCTCCGGGATCTTCTTTCACGGCCCTTATGCTGTCCTGCATCTCGGAGGACTATCCTCGCCTCTCACCTCCAAACAGTACCTTCCCCCTCGCAGAATTTTCAGACAACAAATACGTGACTCAGAACTCCGACAACATAAAGAAATGCTGCCACCGAGGGCCGGGTATCTCGCAAGAGTGGCAAAGAACGAAAAACATTGCTGGGTATGCATGACGACGCTGCATTACTCGCGCTAGCAGACGCTCCTCTGCTAGCGGATGTCGTTGGAGGAACGGTGGTAGCTGTATACACACCGGTTGGCAGACTCCTAGGAGGTGGTTTCGTCGTCGTCGCCTCTCGAGTACCGGTGCTCGAGGCTGAGCTTTTTGTAATAATCGATGTGCTTACCGTGTTTGCACTTGATATTTGCGACCCTTCCTGCGTCATGCTCGTGTTGGGCATCGGTGGACTGGTCACTATGCTGACCGGGGGCGTGCCTGGCGATCCGGCGATGATGACAATTCCTGGGTCCGGTGCCTGCCAGTCCGTGGCGTCAGCGTATAAAACCCCGTTGATGATGGCGCCAGCATTATTCGCGAGCATGTTCTTCTGGTCCGTGTTACAGGTCGTATTGACGGCGCGAAGGTGACAGATCGGATCGGCCATTGGAGGGGCGATATTCTGGTGCGATGAGTTAGCTTCCCCAAACGACGAGTATGTCGACAAGTCCGCTGGCAAGCCCATGCTGATGTCTGTTCCCTGGATGATACGCGAAAAGATGGTGAAGGCGGTCTCGGGCTGATACGCGGGCATCAAGTGACCGGAATCGTAGATTCGGCTGAAACTCAGGTTCCCAAACTCCCGAACGACACCGCCGACGTAGGTGCTATTGGCCACAATCGGGGCATATCCAGCGTCGTACCACGGCAAATATGATGGGCCCGCCGCCCCAGCTACAGCGAAAGAGGCTGCTTCTCCTCCTAGCCAATTGCAGATGTAATCTCGGTCCCCGTATATCAGCGCAACTCTGACACCAGAATCGAGAAGATCAACAAGATCCTGGACGATGTTATTCCGTGCATAGTCTCCGGTGGTGTTGAAGGCAGTGAACACAGCCACTGAATCTTGGCTGTAGTTGACCGGCACACCAAGCGCTTCTTGAACCGATAGCTCATTCAGATACTCCAGGTAGAGAGCGCCCGGAAAAGGGTCGAGCATACTTTGCGAAATGTCGTAGATGGAACGCCCGGATGTAGTGTATGGCCCAACTACATAGTCTTCGCAGTACGATTGCGCTTGCGAGCACGCTTCGTTGACTGCATCCACGTCTCCGTGGCCCATCGGGTCGAGGGCAGCTTCTTGTGAACGGCAGAAGGCAGTACGCTGCTCGCAGCCGTCTGCGCTGTTGTAGGCGCTCAAAGCGTTGAGTTCTTGAAGTTGCGAAATGGCTTCGATGGCATAAGTATTCTCATATGCAAACTTGGGATGATACGGCGTCTGGGTCACGAGATCAATCCAGCCGTTGATGATGCCCAGTGACTTCAGTGTAATATCAATGGTCGTATTGGCAAAATCGGAATCTGTCTGACGACGCTCATTCTGGACGCCGAAGAAAGCTCCAATAGCAGGTCCATACTTGCCTCCGTAGGACTCGGTGAACAGGTGGACCTCGGCCGTAGGCTCATTGGCTTGCACACGGAGAGCGGTATTGTACTGAGGAAAGGAAGTGAGAAATGTTTGCAGAAAATGCCAGAGCGACTGGGCAGCAATTTGGGACGTATTGGCTGTGAATGACGGATTTCCCGATCCGAATGTGCCATTGAGAAACGTGTAGCTAGGCTGCGAGATGGGTCCTGCTGTTGGTGGAGTGACTGTGGTTTCATCAAGCAGATTAAGGGAGGAGTTGGTCAGAATATCGTAGGAGAACCCCACCTGAACTGGCTGGTCAATGAAGACAATGTTGCTGCTGCGGTCCCAACCCCAGTCTCGTGCAATTGTGCCCAGCTGACCGTTGGCAATTTCCACTACCTGGCAGGGTCCAACCTCTTGGAATAGACCGACCATGCTGCTGGACCCAGGTCCGCCATTGATGAAGATTGTCAATGGAGCCGACTCGGGGAGTTGTCTCGCTTCAATAAACCAGAAAAAAGTGTTGATGGTGTAGTTTCCTTGACTGGGATCCAAAATATTCGGTGGGAGAGTGATGTAACCTGCGAATTGTTGCTGAGTCTCGAAAACTGTTGTACAAGTCCCCACGGGAACGTTTTTGTAGGCCACCGAGACATTTGGACTGACTGGAGAAGGAATTATAATGACGGAATCATTAGCAGGAAGGGGAGGAAACTGAGCGAGGACCATCGAAGTGTGGACACAGAGGCTGACCAACAGATTGTTCAGCCATCTCATCCATGGTGCCATGCGTTGCGACAAAGGCTACAAAGACTCTTCTATCAGGTCCGTGTCCCGCGCGATCACACCTGCCAGCCTTTGGTCCAAATTCCCCGATATTGGAGGTCATCACCATGAGTGAAAAAGGCCTCGTTAGGACGATGGAGCTCCACCACAACCGCGTCCTGGATTGGATCAAATGGAGCGGGTAAATGCTAGAGACTACTGGAAACAGATTGACGGGGAATGTGCGATGCTTCCGGAACCGATAGCAGACAGTCGACAGAATGGTCCGATTGGCGTTTTTGTTTGCAAAGAAGTCGGGTAGAGAAGGTGCACGGATGCTGCTGAACCTGCCAGACTAGACTTTTCACAAGCTTCGAGATGGCAAAACAATCGACGTGGGGTGGGTCTGAACGAGTGTGAGATGTCGGTGGAAGGTCAGTGCAGGAGACAATCACACAATAATGGAAGATGGTATGATTTTTCAACTTCTCTCCCCGCAGGCGCCGTTGACGCCATGTCTACGCAAGGCCATTCCTTGGCAGGTCAGAGTGGGCCATCTGTCGATCCTCAGCCTCGCCTCTTTCTCAGCCTTGTGCCGCGCCAGGTACCCGAAGGCCCAGGCATACACGTGATAGTCAGGCAAGGTAGCAGTGACTTGAGTGACAATCCGCAATATTCACGTGAAACGAGGCTGGACTGCACGTGACATGATCTCGACTCGATTTCTTTCGCATCGCGTCTTCATCTTTGCCTCTGCTCTCTTGTCCGCGCCACAACTTCATGGTGAGATTCTCTTAACCGCCGTTCTGCGCAGAGCCGTGATTGTCGTCTACATTCTGGCAGAGGTGAGTAGCCATGGCTTATAACGGCTACAATGGCTTCAACGACGATGTTATGGACGGGGTCGAGACCTCTGGTCCTAAAGTCACAGTGAGAGAAGTGAGACAGACGACACTGACATTTCTCCTGATCTCAATCTGACTCTTTACAGGTCGAACCAGATCGCTGCGACTTTGTTCTACAGTCATGCTCTCTCGCTCTCGCCAACTCCCTCCGTCGCGCCATGCTTGCTGAAATCCCTACCATCTCGATCGATCTCGTGGACATTACTACAAATTCCTCTGTTCTGCCTGACGAATATCTCGCGCACAGACTGGGTCTTGTGCCTCTAATCAGTAAAGGTGTGGACGAAAACCTCAACTATGGCAGGGATTGTGATCGCTGCGACGACCACTGCGAGTACTGCTCGGTTGTCCTCCGCCTGCACGTCCGATGTTCTCAAGCCGGCACGATGCTGGTACATGCTAACGATCTCATCGTCGCGAACCCTCGTCAAGACGGTATCGGTCGGCCAGTCATCCGTGATGCTAACGGCACCGGACCACTGATCGCCAAATTGAGACAAGGTCAAGAAATTCAGCTGGAATGCATCGCGAAGAAGGGAATTGCAAAAGAGCACGCAAAATGGGCACCCACATCGGCAGTGGGCTTTGAATACGACCCCAACAACAAGCTGCGCCACGTCGATTACTGGTACGAGACCGACGCCAAAGAAGAATGGCCGGTGGACGAGCGCAATGCCACGTGGGAGGGGGATGAATCGGCTGCCGACGCCGCCTTCGATCCAGATGCTGTCCCAAGCGCCTTCTTCTTCGAAGTTGAAGGCATCGGCACTCTTGAACCGGACGACATTGTGCGCGGCGGAATCGACGTGATCCAGAAGAAGCTCGCCGAGACCATCAAGGTCCTGGGAGGTGCAGAGGCTGCTGGTGTCGACGCAATGAATGGTCTCCAAAGCCCCGATGGCTACGAGCCGGCTCCTCCAAATGGAGCATTCAGTTCATACGGTGGTCTCAGGGGCGGCGCGACACCTTATGGTACAACTCCTTACGGCGCTGGTGGTTACGGATCCTACTAGACCAAGAGCGCGACTGCTTTTTGCATAGCGAGGCGTTGGAGGTTTGGATGGCGAGGCGGATGTCGCCCAAGGGGAACAATTGGCGGGTCCAGTCAGTATGGATTCACGGCACGGCATGGTCTCAAGGTGTTACCCCCCAGTGGCAGAGAAAAAAGGTACATATCTCCAGGTTGGGTGAAACTGGAGCTTACCTGCTCCGTTGACCTTATCTTTTCAAACTAAAGGACATTTAGATGTTACTATGATGGGGAGGGCAAGGAACGAAAAGCAGCGAAACTGATTGTGTTACACGTGCTAGAGAATCTCGATCTCTCGTGTCTCTCAAGCAAGCATCATGAATCTTATTAGTCAAACCCAGACCAGCAGAGGTCCTCGAATCGACTTGAAGGGGTAAGTGGGAAACGCTCTACTGACTGGGCATTCTGAAACGTAGTCAGCATTGCGTGGAACAAATGCTGCCGTAATCAGGCACTTGTGTGGATTTGCATCCCGTACTGCCGCCCATCCAGCATTACTGACGCTGATGTCGCTGCCTTTTTCTGTTCTTTCGGAATGGTTATGCTATTGGCGGGGGTGTGCATGCGTGTGGTGGTGTAATGTGTAGATGGTCTGAGGATATTTAACACTGGCTGGACCCCTCTGGACCTGATGGAAAACTTCAATTTCGTTGAGACCCGGAAATCTGCCCACCTCGAATCAAACACCAGACAGACGAAACAGACAGACAGCGCAGCCTGAAGCGTCCGGAACAGAAGCCGCCTTTCCTTGGCCCCGCCAGTCAGAGCTCTCGAATTCAGGTACTAAGTTGCAGGGTGCCAGACCACCTGCAACCAGTGAACATCAGACTCGCGCCACCGACAAAACGACAGAGGGTTGAGGAGCTTCGAACCCTGACAATAATTGCCCCGCCATCCCGCTCGGTGACAAAACGTAAGTATTAGCCTCAATCGAGCAGTTCCGACAAGTCAAAGTCAACAGCTTGGGCTCGTCACTAAATTTTTTCCTCAACAGCCTCTGCAGAACCTCTAGAATTCCTCTCTCTGCTCTGTTCACCTTGAATTTGACCAGTTTTCACATCAGTCTGTCACAATGGGGTACTCTGATCTCGATTGGAAGGCTATCAACACCATCCGACTGCTTGCGGTATGGCTCTCTGCCCCTCCATGGTCATTTTCACATCTCCTGACTGCTATTGATTCAGGTCGATGCCACCCTCAAGGCCAACAGCGGCCACCCGGGTGCTCCTATGGGTAGGTGATTCATTTGACCGATGAAAGAACCACATCTGACGAGTCCTTCTTCCAGGCATGGCCCCGGTGGCCCACGTTCTTTTCAACAAGTTCATGACCTTCAATCCCAAAAACCCCGACTACATCAACCGCGATCGATTTGTCCTATCGTGAGTATGACCACATTCAAAGACATCACAAGGAAGAGGAGGAGAAGTAGAGGAAGATGAGGAAAAGATTGTATGCACGAACAGCGGGGTGGTTTGAACTTGGCTACTTGTGGTTGCCATTGACATTCCTCGTCTCCCGTGATAGCCTTCTCTTCCGGCATAAAATCACGAGATACTAGTCCTGTTGCTGACTACTTTGTTCAGGAATGGTCACGGCTGTATGCTCCAATATGCTCTCCTCCATCTGTTCGGCTATGCCGTCTCAATGGACGACCTGAAACACTTCCGAGTATGTCCAACAGTTCCAACCTCCTGTTGACCAAAGCTCACACTCAGAGTAGCAAGTTGACAGCATCACCCCCGGCCATCCTGAAGCAAATGACACTCCTGGTGTTGAAGTGACCACCGGTCCTCTGGGCCAGGGTTTTAGCAATGCCGTTGGTCTGGCGATTGCTCAAGCTCACACCGGCGCTGTTTTCAACAAACCTGGTTATGACCTCCTCAACAACTACACCTATTGCTTTTTCGGTGATGGCTGCGCCATGGAAGGTGTTGCAAGCGAAGCTGCTTCTGTCGCTGGACATTTGCAGCTGGGCAACCTGATTTGCATCTACGACGATAACCATATTTCCATTGGTAAGAATAGCCTCGACGAACCGGGCAAATACGATCGCTAATCAAGGACAGATGGTGACACCAAAGTCGCCTTCACGGAGGACGTTTCCAAACGATTTGAGGCCTACGGATGGCATGTTCAGCATGTCAAGGACGGCGATCACGACCTTGATGGTATTGAAGCTGCCATCAAGAAGGCCCAGGAGGTCAAAGACAAGCCTTCCATGATCAAGCTCACTACCACCATCGGTTTCGGCTCCAAGCTGCAAGGCACAGGTGGCGTGCACGGCAACCCCCTCAAGGCCGATGATGCCGCGCAAGTCAAGAAGAAGTTTGGTTTCAACCCTGAGGAATCGTTCGTGGTTCCCCAGGAAGTGTACGATTTGTACAACAAGCACGCCGCTGAGGGTGCCGCTGCCGAGCAGGCTTGGAACGATCTGTTCAAGAAATATTCAAGCGAGTTCCCAGATTTGGCCAAAGACTTCTCCCGTCGTCTGTCCCGCAAGCTTCCCGAAGGATGGGAGAAGAGCTTGCCAGTGTGGAAGCCGACTGATGCTGCGGAAGCCACCCGCAAGACCTCTGAGAAGGTCCTAGAGAGCATCCACGAAGCTGTCCCGGAGCTGTTGTCAGGCTCTGCAGATCTGACAGGAAGCAACAACACCCGATGGAAGAACGCCGTCGACTTCCAACCCCCGAGCCTGGGTATTGGTGACTGGACTGGACGCTACCTTCGATACGGTGTTCGAGAGCACGCGATGGCGGCCATCATGAACGGTATTTCTGCATATGGCACTCTTATCCCAGCTGGCGGTACTTTCTTGAACTTTGTGTCATATGCTGCAGGAGCTGTCCGTCTATCGTCCCTCTCGCACCAGCGAGTCATCTATGTCGCCACTCACGACTCCATCGGTCTGGGTGAAGATGGCCCTACTCACCAACCTATCGAGACTTTGGTCCATTTCCGAGCACTTCCCAACATGATGGTGTGGAGGCCCGCCGACGGCAATGAGACATCGGCCGCATACTACATGGCTCTGACTTCGACCTCTACCCCTTCCATCCTGGCCCTGACCCGACAAAACCT